TATATATATATATGTATGCTGCCAAGCATAAACGCATGCGTAGACACATGCATGAATACGTGCGCGCATGCTTGCACAGACAGGAAGGTGTTCATGGACACATGTTTGTGTGTGTGTATATATATATATATGTGTGTGTGTGTGTGTGTGCACACGAAGCAAGAACTTCTTGTCATGTCAGCGGATCAGAATCCACCGTGCCCATCCGAATCTCATCTACTGGTTGTGGGTCTCTACTACCGCTTGCCTCCCTAAGCACTAAACCATCCCAGACCCTAAACCCCCAAACCCCTAAACCCCTAAACCCTAAATTGCTCCCAGTCTCCAAGACGAGCTGCTGCCACCAACGTCCCCGAAACCACTCTATGGGTTTGGCTTAGACATCATTCGCGACTCTGAGGTCTAGCTCTCTCTGAATGGTACATCCAAACTTCAAGTTAAGGGTTGAGGGTCTAGGGTTTAAAAACCTCCATCCCAAGCTTTAAACCGGACGCCCTCAAACCTCACACCTTCACCTGCGAGGAGCTTGCCAGATGGATGGCGGCATCCTCGTCATTTCATCCCCTGATGGCCCAATGGCACAGCTCCTTGGTTGCAACGATACTGTGTGGAGTTCTTGGTGGCTGAAGGTCTAGATGTAGAGGCAACCCCATAGGTTCAATGATATTTATATGCATAGCATTGCCTAGCGAGGAGAAGACAGTGGAGAACTCTAGTGCCTCTAGCCTTTGGCAGTGCTAGCAGGTGTCGCGGTTTTCGTTGTTGTAGAAGGAGTGGAAAGAATGAATTAGCAGTAGTCGTCACCGTCGTCGTCGTAGCCGTAATAGTTAGTAGCAAGTAGTCGTCGTTGTAGTAGTTGCGGTCGTAGTTACACCCCTGTACAACACCTCAAGTGCACAGATGGGTGCCACAATGCACGACGAACTTGTGTGTGTGTATCAATACACACACACATATATATATATATACATATATATATATATATACATTGTATATATATATAGTTACACACCCATCCGTAATTACATGCATACATACACACAAAATCAAAAGTATGTATGCGTATACTACATATATTCATATATATATATATACATACACACACATATACATATGTATACGCGCATACCCACTACTCCCATACACTTGTATGTTGATGCCCGCATACATACAGAAAGCGAGAAATAGGTTACAGAAAGCCCGTTATAGATAGCAGAAGCGGCAACCCCTCGTACATTAGGCATCATGTGTGCATTCTAGAGATATGTGTGTCTACATATGTGTATATATATATATATATATATAGATATATGTATACATATCGCATACCCAGAGACCGATACCATTCTGGAGGTCACTGACTGAAGGTACCCTAAACTGCCCTAGACCCTAACGCCAAAGCTTGGAGTCCTTAACCCTAAGCCCTATACCCCTAAACTCGAGACTCTAAGCCCCGAAACCCTAAACCCTAGGCCCGGAGCCCTAAACCCTAAAGCCCTATACAACTCGCATGTTAACGAAGCCCATATCAGCCATGAGGACGCGCGAGCACATCCTCCTGTCCAAGCAGGCTCACACTCTTCAGCCTCTTTGTGGTTGATCTTTCAAGATTAAGGGTTAAGGGCTGAGGGTGTTCGGGGTTCTGTTGTTGAATGTCGGTTTTAGATTTGAGGATCAGGGGTCCTCTGTGTTCTAAGGATCCGAGGAAACCCTACGCCCCGAAAGCCCCAAAGACCCAAACCATGAACTCCAAACTCTAAAACCTACAGAATCGCAGAACCCTACAGAAGCCACATAAGAACAACGCACCCGTACGAAGCCTGATCAGATCCTTAAGCCGTCAAAAACCGTGTATGCCCTTGCACAGACCCAACCGATCCCCAAAACCTGTCCCATTCCATAAGGGTCTAAGTACCTCATCGTCGTTTGCTCCCCAAAAAGGCTCGCCGATGCGGCGATCGATCCTAAGCCTGTGGACCCTGCGGGAAAACGCCGGGCTCAAGGATCGACCCCTTGTAGCATCCTTGTAGCGAACCCCTTGAAGGACCTTTGCAGTCACCCTTACAGTCCAAAGGAACCCTTACAGGAACCTAGGGTTTAGAACCCTAAAACCCTGAACCCAAAGCCCTAAACCCTGAACTCTAAACCCTAAGCCCTAAACCTCCTTAAGCCCTAAACCCTA